TCAGTGAAATACTGTTCTGCTTGTCTAGCACAGGCTATTTCATTTTAGCTTCTAATGGAATTCAAGTGTCACAACTGGTTTATGAAATACTGATTAAACTGCTAAGCCAAAGAATTAAAATTCTCTATTTTTAAAGAGAACACATGCTGATTTTTAGCAATGATTAGAAATTATCTTATAATTTTGAGGGCATATATACAATTCCGGTTCGTCATTGCTGACCACAAATGTGAATTCAGAAGATAATTTTAAAGTCAGTTTTCCTGTGATGAGGGAATTCTTTTCAGATGTTAGATGGAGCTTGACTAATTAATAAAGTGCAAAGTGCATTCAGGCTCTCCTAGAAGATCAGAGATTATTTTTGATTTGCATCTTAATAAAAAATCATTGTCGGTGTAAAGAGTTCCTTTGGTTATTAAAATATGACATTAATATTGAAACCTTTTGCAGGTGAGGACATGCTGTGATGAGTATGACACAGAGAGGAAAAAGTCATTACACTTTTTTTTAATGTTTCCATTTCATATCCTCTCAGTGAATCAAATTAAGGGACTCCAGCGTTCTTATTAAATTCAGTGGTGAGGAGCTGAAAAACAGGATTAGGTGCTTGCATTGGCTGCTTAAAATATGGCAAGAAGTAAAGATGTGTAAGACACCAATGTTGAGGAATTTTAGGCCTGGTTTATTCCCCCTTTTTAAATACTGTTTACTCCATGTCATTCCCAGTTCCTCTTCATTGTTTTTACTATCCCCCACAGAAGAGAAGGAGAAATGTACAGCACAGGCAGTGTGGAGCAAATAGTAAATGAAACAGAAATTGAATGTAAAAGCCAGAGGTAGAGTAACATGAGATTTTTGTGTAATGTTCTTTATCCTGAATACTTCTTAAGGCTAAAATTAATGCTAACTGTAAACGAACTGCAATTTCCTGGCTTACAAATCAGCAGAGCTGTAGTGGTATTAGCTGTCAGACAGTGTGGCATGAAAAACAACATCTGTCACTCATGCCCTATGCGTGTATCTGTACTAGGTAACGTTAGTAAGCATTAGTAATATGCTCACATGATGTAATTAATACGCAGTAAATGACTCCTTAAATTTACCACCAGTCAGAGTGTAGTAATTGTGGAATTGTCCCAAATCTCAAAGAATGTGTGAGTGGATGGTGTTAATAGCCTGATTATGTAGCAGCAAGGTTTTAAATATAGATCTTTAGGCATATAATTTGACTCCTCAGGGGACAACTAATTTGACAGCAAGCACTTTCTAGTGAAAGCTTACTTTTTGGAAGAGCTCTAGAACAGGCCAGGTTTTATTTTGGGGAGTATATGAGTCTTGTTGGATGCTGCTGCCATTTGTGTCCACTTTGCAGTGCTCTGAGAGCGTTTCCAGACATTCTGATTCACCAGAATGTCTCTACTCTTGTTCTTGCTTTATTTCAGGGTTTAATATTTTAGGAATAAGTCCTACCCTCTTTATACTACTGTAACTCTTACAGCCTACAGCAATAATTGATTCAGATGTCACAGAGTGGTTCTTTAGAAATCTCACGTATCAGACATCTGTGCTTTAGAGGAATGGCAGGTAAGTCAGCAATTGCAAAAATCATATCCAAACTACGTTAACCTCACGTGAGGTATGCTGAATGACTTATGTTAGAAGAGTAGTACGCAGTAGATGTATGCTGAGCTTTAACGGCACAAGAAAAATTGGAAACGTACTGATACAAAGAAGGAATCTCAGAAGAGTTTCTTAATAAGTTTTCTATGTTTCTTAAAATTTTATTTGCTTTTCCAGTTACTAGTAATGTCTGACTTGGAGATTTGGAAGGTAATCCTTTTTTATAATATAATGTATGTGTTCAGTAGCATTACTCTAAGGATTTCTGGCAAGAATTAGGGCATGCTTGGGCTTAGTGCTCTACAGGCACAACAATATGACAGTTTCTGAGAAAGTTGAGATTTAGTTGAACTAGACAGCTGGAAACAATTTTTTTTTATACATCCCATGCAAATAGTTCTGAGTTCTTTTAGGTTAAAAGGGAAAAAAGCATCAAGCAATAGCTATGCAATAGACTAAATTTTACTAACATTGAGAATTAACTCAGCAGGTGCAGTGTGAACATAACTTAAAAATATAAGGAGGTTCCACAAATGCAAATATAACACAAATTTCATAACAACCCTTCAAAAATCATAATCCAAAGCTTGAAAGATTGAATAATCTGATTTTCTTAGAGGTTTTTTTAATGCTGCTTGGTCTGCAGCAGTCGATACGTCCTAATTTGAGGGACGTAGTCAAGTCTGGGCTAATCCCCATTTTCATTTCAAAACAAGAGAGAGAATGCGTAGGAGTTCTCTTAGTGAAGATGCATTGCCATCTCAAAAACTGCAATTAAAAGATTATTTATAATAATAAACTGGAGTTATCAGTGGTTGAATTAGCTCTACATAAGCCTCTGTGCTCTCAGAAGTGGCAATACAAGGTCTTGATAAGGGGTAATTGGTTGTTTCTCAGCAGGTAGCCTGGTTAGTGCTAAGTTCCATGATGCCATGGATGGACTTCTAGTATGAACTAATACGTGGCTGCCCGGCTTAAAATTAACTTGACCATCTCTTTCCAATGCTGCAGTAGCTACTGTGTCTTCATTTAATAATTACTGTGGCTTGCTTACCTAAAATTTGTTTCTGAATCCTCTCTGTGTCTTCCCTCACTACAAATTAATAATAGTTAATGCTCGTTAATACAATAAGGTCTATTTTTCCTTTAGGAGCATAGAATTTAATTTCTATAGCCCAAGTCCATCTTGTGTAAAAATTATGTTCCCAGAGTTTACCTACCCCTTCCTTTCAGCTGACGGGACTGACTTTGAATGTTTCATCCTTTAGATCACCACCTAGATCACCACCATTGAAGATACCTGAAAATCAATAGATGGATATCTTGCTATACTGTATGAAGTAGAATGAGTTAAGTGTGGTGTCAAGGTAAATAACCTGTTGTAAGAAATTTCTTTTAAGTCAAATGACAGTATTGGCTATCAGGAGTGTTAACCATATTGAACTATGTTGTGGTTCGTATTCTGTATACATAGAAAATAGCTCCAGAACCAAACACTCGTGTAAAAAAATGTCTGAATTTTTATTTGCCGTGCCTTTTGTTGCCAAAGATTCTGTAGTTTCTGGTGTGCACTGACAGGATCCTGAAAACTGATGACAAAGAGGCGAAAATAATAACAGATTTATTCAAACATGCTTTCTGCAATAGTTGAAATATATAGATTTGTTACATAATATGTGATTAAGGCTTAAGGAAAGTTCACATTTTGAGTGATAGTATGTATGGAAGGGCCTACAGATCTATTTGAGAAGCAAATGGACCAATCTTAGATCTATTCAGGTAGTATGATTTACTGTCACATCATCTTAATGCTTGTCTTAGTGCTATTTCTAAATTCTTAATATATCACTTTCCTTTTTCCTTTCTACAAGAGGAAACAACTTTATAGTGTCTGTGTGTGCGTGTATGTCTATTTGTGTGTGTCTGGAACAGCTTAGTAGAAGCCTTATTCAAAGGACTAAGATCTTAATGAGAGAATTTAACTGTCTTTTGAATGCAGTGAGATTTATAGTCATCTTCTCTTGAGGAAGAGACTTCCCTAGTGTAAATCCAACTCCTGAAAAGGTTCTGTTTCCTGTCACCATTGCAACAGCCTTCCTGTAAAATAACAGTTTAAGTTATTAAGTTAAGTCTATTACTATATGGGGGCATAGACAAGTGCTCTACTTTTACCAGCACTTCCATCTTACGGTGACGAAGGAGCCTGTTCTTACTACTTAGAAAATCATTTTGGAGAGCCGTCAAACATTCCTCTGCAAAAGTTCTAAGTAAAGGAACCATTAAAAGGAACTGGAAATATACTTCCTCCATCACCTAGTCACTAGATTTTTTAACTGGTCAGGCAGTTAATCTGCTTTCAGAAGCAACCATTATTTGTGTCCCAAAATGTGACTTGGTGGACCAATAGGAAGCCATGCTTATTAATGAAAATCAGAGGAAAAGGATAAAGAAAGAGCTGCCCTGTAGCAACATCTAGGTGCTGTAAAAAGAATTGGACGTATACACACATACGGGATCCGTGGCTGTGTAATGCAGGGTAGTATGTAGCTCAGCATGTGGAAAGGAGATTCTCCCACAGAGGCTACTTTTGTGGTTTAACGTGTGGAGGATGATCATCTTGATTGGCTGTGGCTGTTTTGCACTTGGAGGTTAGAACTGGATCTGTAGTTGCTAATGATCATGTTAATGATAAAATAAGATACTTTGGAGTTAGAATGGTACGTATCAGGATTTTTTTCCATAAATATTGAATGAGTATGATGCTAGGTTGCTGAAAAACTCAGAGCCTTTGGGCCATAAATTATTAGTGTGTTCCCTGCTTTAGAGATGAATCTGAACTATCTGGGGATGAGTTGTCCAGTTCGCTGGTATGAAGCTAGAACACATAATACCTCCTTTGATCCGAAAGGCAGGTACTGACTCCAGACAGTTTCAGATATCTGGCCTAAGTGCTGTAAGCTATCCAGCTAATCTTCCATAGTTCCTAGCAAAGAGTGTGGTGCTCTGGATGGACTAAAAAGACTAGTGCTCCTCAAGAACACTATCTCTTTCCATTCTGCAGCAGGATCTAGCTAGCTAGATACTCTTTCTAGAGTATATGTAATATACAGCCCTCTTAAGAAACCGTGATGTAACTCCACAATTAAAAAAAATGCATTTATGAAAATATTTCGAACTCTTATTTTTGATATATTCTTGAGCGCTAAGCTGTATGACTTAAAGATAGTCTTTCTTGATTTCAGCTCCACAGTTACAGAAGAACCTTCCAACTATCGTTCCCACTCTTCCTTTTTAATATTTTGCAAATATATCCATTTCCGAGAGGGGAGGGGACAGAAAAGAGAGAGAATGACTAAAGAGAGGGCGGAAGATATATTTGAAAGGTCAGACTACTGGGAAATAAAAAATATTTCCCACTGCTTTCTCTATATATCATATTTCCTTCTCCAGCCAGAAAATCATCTTTTTCAGGTGACCACTTTTTTACTTTGTTAAGTGTTAGTGTTAAAAAAGTGTTAAAAATAGTCATTGTTGTGAAGATAGCCAAGGCCCAGCCTTGCTATGACCCTTCACAGACTGAGGAATACAGATGCCAGGGATGAGACAGATGTCATACTTATACAGATGCCAGGATGAGGTGGATGTCATACAGATGGCGGCATGAGACATGGCTGATCTCATGACCAAGCCATGTCAAGTTTAAATCTGTCCTGTGGCGACTCTGAGTAATGATTGCCACCACCATCGTCAGAGCACAATGCATAAGACTACTGAAAGTCGCTTGACTGACTTTGTCCATGAGAAAGCTAAAGAAAGTATCAGTATGTCCAGTTCCCTTCTTCCTTATTTCATTTGTATATACTTTCTCTACAGTGTTCTTTTATAACCTTGAATGTTGCAGCAGTCTTCCTTGTTTCATTTGTATATACTTTCTCTACAATATTCTTTTATAACCTTGAGTCTTGCAGCAGCTGTAAACATATACTGCAAGTTCCTATGAAAACTATCTAGCGTCTAATTACAGTAGCTCCTTGTTCTCTTGCCAAGAAAAAAGCATCATCAGCTACTTAGATAATACAGAATATTACAGAAAACAACAACAAATACACACTGTTATTTTTCCTTCCTTATATCCTGCCTTGTGACAGGAATCCCTCCCCCTGCTAACTTCATTGGTTAACAATAAACAAAGCTGCTTTCAGCAACTGTGTTACCATAGCCTCTGTGTAGCATAATACATTAGAGCTATGATAGTATTAAAAATCTGGTTAATCATGGAAATGTTTTACTTTTTTAGTAAACTTTATTTGAATTTGAATCTCTTCCAGAGATTATACCCTTTTCTTGCATCCACATAGAATGGAGCTGCTACAATAGTAGAGAACAGCATAAATAATTTTCTCTAAATGTTTTATCAACATCAACAGAGAAAAATGCTTACACCAAAAGATACAGGATCATGGCAGAGACTTAAGACGAGACCAGGAGCTATAGCTTGCTTGCTCAGCATGGGGGATTTGAGTAGCTTATGTCTTCCACTCCTATTAACAGAAATTTTTGTTGATCAACATTTTTGGAAATTATGAAGAGGTAGCTGACTGAACTCAGATATTGATTTATCAGAAAACATTACTTTTTAAAAACATTGATAATTTTTCTGTCTTGCCCAAGGGAAGTGCCATGAGGAAAGGGTGTAGAGACTTCACATTCCGTAGCTTCAGGTGACTAATTTTGGTCAACTACATTAGGACTCAGTTTCCCAAAGTTCCCTCTGTAGTCATCAGAGTGAAATAGGCTCTTCCAGGAAATTCCAGACCTGACGTCTAACTCAGATGCTCTGTACTACCCTTCAGAGGACAGCTGTGAGAGATACCAGATTTTCAGTAGTCTTGGTAGTTTGTGAGGGGTGGACTTGCATATGGTGATCCAGGCTTTCCAGTGTTAGAGGCTGACTGCCATATGTGGGACTTTCCTGACAGAGTGCCAGGCATAGACACAGCAGGAGGTATCAGTTTTCACCTTCTGTCATTCCTTGTCTCCTTAGAATTGCTACAGGAAAGGTGGTAAGTTGTACACAACCATCTCATGAGCCAAATACCTGGCTTGCAGGCCCCCAGTTGAGCCAGCTAGTCTTAGGTATATCAGTCCTTTTTTTCCTTTTCCCTTTATGGTTCAGTCGTACCTGACTTTTGTTTTTCAAGATTATTTTATGTGATGTGTCTGACGTTTTGGGCCAAGGTACTTTAGCCTTCTTGCTCATGCTTATGCCAGTTAAGTTATACGATATAAGTTCTGAATAATGTTTTATTCCATATGTGGATGTCAGCTGTAGATGATAGAGTTTATATTCAGAAATCATTTACTGTGCTTGTACACTTGAAAAGTGATTGCAGGAGCAGGCACAAGTACCCTAGGCTCTCTGACCTGCCCATGTGCTCTCCTCACAGCTGCCTCACAGGCTGACCTCAGGGAGCCTGTTCGCTTTTGCCTGTTTGTATCTATGACACTGGGCATGCTCAGGCATTAGAAGTTGTAGGTGCACCTTCACCCATATCTGGGATTGTCCTTCCAAGTTCATAATTTTGGGCAGACTGAAAATTGGACTTTAGAGAGGTCACTGACAGCTTTCGAAGGTAACACACCCGCTGACTGTGATGTACTTTAGGTAATTCTCTAGGTAAGTGCTGACCTCCTGCATCTCTGTGCTGGAGGGTCTCTGTTAAGAAGTCCTGTAACTTTCTGTCTTTCTTTTGTACTGCACTGCTATAACATTTTATTTATTTAATATTAAACTTTTATTTGAAGAGAGCGTTTTAAGCCTCTGGACCTTGATATTAGTTACCAGATTCTTCATTATTCATCCTCCTCACCCAATAAAATTGTACAGCTGTCCTACAGTGATTAAGACATAGGAGAAGGGGAAAAAAAAAACTTTCTGCAGGTCTGCAAATTCAGCTGATATGAAAGTCTGAAAGCTACTGGCTATTTTGAATATAATGGCTAAGTTGTTTTGGTCGCTGTTATCAATGTATCTTTTATTAAAAGATAATATACTATTTGCTCAGTCAGCCTGGCAGTCTAAGTAGAAACTTTTAAAGTAGGTGAGAATCTGATTTTACTTACAGAATATTTTATTTTTTAAAGCTATTTGAAATGACTTGTTTAATGAATGTATCACAGCTTACCTGATGACCTAATCCTCTTTCTGTGCAATTACAGTTGTGCATAACAAAGGGAAGGTTGTATGTATTCAGCAGAAATTGAATCACAAAAGCAGAAAATTAAGTCTGTCAAAACACTGCATAAATGCTGTACATGCATTTTTTTAACTGAGCCCACCAAGTTGAGAGATTTGCAGCATATCCAGAAAGTTTAGTCCCTGGACCAAATCACAAAATGATCAGCCATTCTTCAAGGTAAAATAGAAGTCTGAAGTTCAACAGCTTTTGGAACAATAAATATATATACATTAGTAATCATTTTAGAGCTCTCTGTTTTGACTCATCTCATGAATTTAGTTTGTCAGTTAGGAAATTTGCTGCATCAAGAATTTCACTACCACCCTTTTCACAGAGATGGAATCTAATGCTCTGAGGTGAAGGCTGACATTAAGGGTTTGAAGCTGAGTTTACAATGCTAATCAGAGGTGTGTCTATATCCAGTGGTGGCTCTTACAAGTACATTTACTTTAGCACATGCAACAGACCTTCAGTATTTCTCATGGCAATGTTGCAGAAAAATTATAATGAGGGCTTTAAAAAGGCTGTTCTCATAGGGGAAAGACTAAGGGAGGGAAGAGGCTTCTTTACTTAGTGATTTCTTTCAGAGGTTCACCATTCTGCCCTAGCTGTCTAAAATGCTATGGATTTTAATATTTACTCTAGCACAACTGGGTCATTTTTTTCCTGGCATCTTTCATTCAGATATAAATAGGTACCAAAGTAGCATTACCAAGAATCTTTTTAAAGAAATAACTGCTAAAGCCATAAAAAAGACTTGAACTAAGGCCCTCCAGAATTACTGCCATTACTATTTTATGCTACTATTCTAGATGAGACTTCTAAGAATCGTAAATTTAGGAACAGAAATAGAAGGATGTATGCCAAAATACAATGGATGTGATCTTTAGTGTAGCTTGTTTACAGAATCACAGAATGGTTTAGGTTGGAAGGGACCTCTGGAGATCGTCTAGTCCAACCGCCCTGCTCAAGCAGGGTCCTCTAGAGCATATTGCCCAGGATCAGGTCCAGACGGGTTTTGAAGATCTCCAGGGAAGGAGACTCCACTACCTCTCTGGGCAACCTGTTCCAGCACTCTGTCACTTTCACAGGAAAGTTTTTCCTCAGGTTCAGATGGAACTTCCTGTGCTTGAGCTTACCTAGGAGGATGTGATGGGAGACAGTGTCAAAAGCCTTGCTGAAGTCCAGGGAGACAACATCCACTGCTCTGCCCTCATCTACCCAGCCAGTCATTCCGTCATAGAAGGCTATCAGATTGGTCAAGCATGATTTCCCTTTGGTGAATCCATGCTGACTACTCCTGATCATCTTCTTGTCCTCCTTATGCTTAGAGGTTCTTTTTATTAAGCTGTTATTTTAATGCAGTGTTATCTCTGTCAAAATTGAAATACTTTGATAAATACTCTAACTTGATGAAAATCTGTTTGAAGGAAAATTAATAAAGCATTTAAAAAAAACATGAGTGCAGGAAAGAATATTTGGACCATTTTAAGAAAATTGTGAGACGTAAATGCTTTTATTTGAAACAATTCAAAGAAATTTGAAGTCTACATGAAATGTATTGCAATTCAGAAAAAGAGAATGTATCATGTTGAAATGGGAAGAAAGTTGACATCATGAAGTTTTCTGTGAAATGGAAAAATCCCATTCCTGGCCTAGTCTGTTTGTTGCCTATTTCCTAAAACGGTAAATACTTTTTATTAATGATTTTAAAGAAAGAGAGAGAAAAGTCTTGAATGTTAACTCACAAATGCAGATTAAAACTGACTGACTTTCCTAAACTGCCTTTGGGGGTGCTATTTTATTGAGGGTGGCTGAACCTAGTCTGGAAACCCTGTTCCTCGTATTCCTCACACGAGTGCCTTTCTACGGAAGATGTTGGTGTCCCTGTTCAAAAGCAGACTGAAGTGGTTATTTTCCCCAGCTGTAGGCATTAGTGGTCTCAGACTAATTAAGTTTTTGCAAAGCATAAGACTGTCAATTAGCTGAGGTTGCTATTCATTTGCTAGCTGCTGACAACTTGTGAGTTGGAGTTGGCCTCTGTATATTTAAATTGGGTATTACCTTTGAAGCAAAAAGAACATGTCAGGTGAGCTGTTACCACATCCCATATATGACCACAGAGTGTCATGGCATAGGTCAGACTGGGAGCTGGATGCTGATAGAAGAAGAAATTTGGGAAACTGTGTTATTAGAAAGAACACATTCATAAGTGGGAATAGTTTTGGTGGGGGCAGATCCTATCAGTCTGAAGGAGGCAGAGCCCATTCATTATCTCTTTTTTTCTGTGATGAGAGACTAAAACATGCAATAAAGGCTGGTTGCACTACAGCATTGTACTGTTCTTTGGCCACAACAATCATCTAGTGGCCAGATTTCTTTTTTCTGCAGGGATTTTGATCTGCTTCTTGGAGAAGCAGATTTTTTGTGCCATATCAATGCATTTCCCATCGCTTTGTAGGCTGAAGAAGAAATGCAGTCTGCCAAATTAATTAGATAGAATTCTCTCCTTTGCAGGAGTGTGTAGACCGTGAAGGACTGCTTGTCACCAAATGGACGTGTCTGTGCTAGTTCAGAATCTCCTTCAAGCTACGTTTGAAATATTTCTCTGTTGCAAGTGAGTTACTCCTTCTTGTGGGTGGAATGAAGAATCTTGTCCTTCATCTTAATTTGTGTATACTGGGTTCATGACAGAATAGCTTAGTCATATAAAAGAACGCAGATACTGCCTCCCTTCTGCCCCATGTAAACCTGTGGTGAGCAGTGGAATTGCACAGCTAACAGACTAGTAAAACCAGGTCTACAATGTTTATCGAAACAATCAGGTTACAAACTCTGCATAGTCAAGTTAATCTAATTTGGCTGTTTGCATGGGTTCTTAATCATACATGTACGAGTTCACATTAAAGTTAGCCTTAATAACGTCTCTCAACTTATCCATTTAGATGAACAATATTTTTCTAAGTGTAGCTTTTTTGCTTTATATTTATAAAATTTTATAATCCTGTCATCCCATTAGGTAGCAACTGAATATTCATATTCTACCTTGGCTTTTGTACATAGGAAAAGTATTCTGAAAACTAAATATATGAAGTATTAATTACAGTATATATCTAGGAAGGACAGCAGGACAATTTTTCATTGGAGTTCTAGTCTTGAGAGATTCTCCTATACATGTGAAATCAACTCAGCCATTCAACATTTTCTTCTTCAATTTTAGATCAATCTTTACATCTGTGAAAGCAATCTACAATTGTCTCCTGTATTTCACAACTTGGTATGTATAAAAAAGTGAGTTTTTGTGACGTTGGTTTTTACAAATACTCAGAAAAAGAGAAGAAATAATGCACAGGGGAAAAGGAAATGGGGAACAAGATGAGAACAAAATGATAGTTTTTGGAATCTGTGGAAAAGGGAGAGAGAGAAGACATCCATGAAAGATGGTTCTAGAAACTAAAAACTTGCTGAATCCTAGAAAGGATGTGCAGGATGTCACAAAATAATTTTTAATCTTTGTTACCTCTCTCTCTCCCCCAGTAACCGTCCCCCCCCCCCAGATATGTATTCCACATTCGATGTATTCCCTGTGCCCTTATCTCTCTTCCTGAGATGCTATAAGAGCTAACAAACTTAGCACTGAAGACCCACAGGCTGGGATATCCATGTTTCACAGCATGAGCAGTTCACAGAGTTACAATCGGTATAGCTGCATTATATGGTATGGCTCTCTGTTAGCATGCGCTCAAGTTGACGTGCTTATTTGCACACTGCTGTACTGAGGCTGTGATGCTACTTGCAGTTCCAGAGCTTCCGGGTACTGTGTAAACATGCCCACTGTCTTTTATGATCTTGTCTGGTGTCTTTGACCCAGAATCACAAAACTTAGAGGTCTTCTTTTACTCTCAGCTACCTGCAGTCATCATGGAAAGATTTCTCCAGAACTCCACCTGAGATTCAGCAAAAGTCCACCGAACCTGAGATGCTGTGAACTAAATGCTCTAAATTCAATGAATCAGCATTTCCCCCCCTGAATTGTTCTGCTTGGAAGTGGGAAAAGTCACAGGTTTACTTCATCTTTAATACAAGTACTGTTATGCATAATTCTTGCGTTTTTTTCCTTGAACAAAGCAGTTTACCCACCTTTTTGGTCCAAGGACATGGACAGAGACAATCTGGCGAATTGAGCTGAGGTTGTTTAAGACATAACCCCTCCAGCTGTCTTTCCGGCCCCTCTTTTATAGGCTAACCCCTCCTACACCAGGCTTGGCAGGATGGAACACTTGCACATGTCTCAGCGCAAAGTCTGCTGTCTTAGCACAAACCTACTTTATTCTGTGCTTTAAAGTAAATTGCTGGACTTTGCACCTGAGGCATGTACACACAGCCTGAGCCAGCTGCTTTTCCATGGGGATGTTTTCCCCTGGCAAACAGGTGGTAACAACTTGTGGAGAGGCTAGATGCAAAAGAAAGTAATAGTTTCTTAAACCACTAGTCATTTCTGTTGTGAGTATGTTCCTGCGGTCTGAGTCTCCAAAGGCCTGTAGACTTTGTTCTATGGTATTGCAGAAATCAATCTTCAGCCCCATTTTAATAGCTACAAGAGAAAGCTATTATAAACATTCTCAGCCAAATGAAAAAAGGTATAGTATGCAACCATTGAAGAATATAAATAAATATTTTGCAAAACTGCCTGTAATTATGCAAAGTAAGTTTTATGCAAGGAATGGCACCACCTAAATTGCAGTGTAATGTATGCACACATGTAGAGAATACAATATTTTACAGCAAACTATTGCCACCATCCTGGAATAGCTTTAGAGTTCTCTTCAATTACTGATTAACCTATTCTAGTAAAATGAATTCTTTTATGTTGGGAGGGGAGCTCTGCTGGTAAATATATTCTTGCTATTCTACGTTGAAATAGTAAAGGTACAGTGGGATTATAGGGGAAGGTAGAATTGCAGCTGTTATAAACACCGTATGTGACAACATGACATGAATTCTTCTGCAGCTTTCCTTATAGAAGGTAAGAAATCCAAAATTAGATGGGACAGAGGCTACCTAAGCTGTTTTTGTAGCTAGAGCTTGTTCATTTCTCACTTTAAACTTGGACGCTAGCAGTAAATTTTATTCTAGCAAAAATTCCAATATTTATGTTTTTTCCCAATCCGTCATCATTTCTGTGTTTCCTGATCAGTAGAACTGTTCTCATTACATTGGGCTGTAGCTCTTCACTGCAGATACAGGGGAACAGGTCTGTTCTAGCCACAGCCGTTAGCATCTGCCTTCCACTCCTGTGCCATAATGCACATAATGCATGGTCTTAATGCAGCACTGCAGCTTCTCTGGGAGCTGAACTGAAGTTACAGCACTGTGATTGAGAATGCCTTTTAGAAGGGGAGCAGAAACAAGTTATAGGTAGGAAAGCTAGGAAAGCTGAAGCTCCCTTACCTAGTCTGTGCAATGAGCCGACTTCTGACTGCCTTGCATTTTGAATGCTTTCAGAATATGCATAAAATGGGAATCTGATATGGTGATACTGCTGCAGTCATAGTTGTTTCCGAAATAGGTGGTGTTTCAACTTCCTAAGCAGTAATTATGCATTGGTTGATATCCAGCCTTCCTTACCTTGTCTTTTTCAGCTTTGTCATAAGGGTGTCTGGCAGGGCAAGAAAAAGGGAAGACACTTTAGTTTTGAAGAATTTGCAATTGTAAGCAGCTGGAATGGAAATGATTATTAACTCTTGTCAGAGGCAGACTGTTACCCCACAGGCTCTGTTGTGCAGTGGAGCAGGCCAAGTGAAAAGCTGTGGTCCAAGTTGCACCAGAGAGAAGGGAAGGTAGTGAGTTTGAAAGCTAAGATTTTCAGGTGACCTTTCATAGTTCTCCTGGCTATCTGTGAAAATCTTAAGGAGGTGCCTGTCAATAGTACCATATCATTCATGAATCTCAGTTTTGGTCACTTTAAAAGGGTAACATGCTTTGAGAGGAAAATCTTAATGGATCAAAAGAAGAAATGTTAATTCACAGAAAGTAGACCTTTCCAGATGAGTCCTTAAATCCTTGACTTCTTGTGCTGAAATTGATTCTGTTGTCCATACAGCTAGGTCTTTAAGTCAAGTATGTTCCCGAGATCCAAAGTTTTACTTCCACTGAGTTCCTCTAGTGAATATCCAAGCTCTTCGATTGCATGAATTAATAGGCGTACCCTTTGAATCGCAGAAGATTGCACTAAGATGTCTGTTTCATTTGTAAATTACATTGATTCACTTTCCTTCTATGTAGCCGCTGGAGTCTGCTGGAATAGAAGTCAGTCTGAATTCCCCTTTATCTGAAAGCAAAAAAATCATCATATAAGATGTGTAAACATGATACACATTTGGTGAGATGAGGAATTTTGTCTCTTGCCCTGTTTGTCTTGCTCTCTCTTCACGTGCATGGAACTTGCATTTCTCCAGTGCAGCGCTGTCACCTCTCCTTGATGCACCACAAAGGTGGTCCTTTGCAAAGGCTCATGAAGCAAGGGAGAAGCTCTGATGCTGCAAGCACCTAGGCTGCAGTGCCACAGAACTTTTCCACTCAAGTCACCTAACCTGCTGTGGAGTGCCTCTCACCCTCATAGTAGGGAATTTTTATGTATGTTCTTCTACAGTTAACATTTGTACTCTTCAGCCATACCATCTCCCAGCCTAGGTTAACAAAAGAATTAATAGATCTGCAACCGATTTTCTAGATGGACCGCTAGACTAGACATATGAGGCTTCACCTGCCTCATATGCTGACCAGCTGCTGTTAGGAAAGCTTCTTGTCTGTCTCTGCCTTTATAGTTAGAAAATTTATCCACATCCTGTTCATGTGATGAATTATTCACTTTCTCCATTTTCACAATAAATACTTACCACAGGTTTTCTCCTTTGGAGTTGTTGTTACTTCATTGGTTTGCTGTAACGTTATATCGAGCTTGTTTTAAATGCCAAAGTATATGCATTGGCTTTAATAAAAGGTATCTGAACTACTGTTTATATTGGTTTATATTGGTCAGTTTGTACCCAGTGTTTCTGATGACGGATGAGACCTCTGTCTCAGGCTTCCCCAAAGCCTTGTGTAATGTCACCACCTCAGTGCTGTTTCCATTTTAATTCACAGAATCTCCCTTCCCTGAATTACCATTGCTTTAAGGGTGCAGCATAATGCTTTAATTACTGTAACACTCCCTCATTTCTGCACAAATGAGGACTTTCATGCTGCTAAAGCTTGCCCCTAGAATGGTTCTCTTGGTAACACGTAACAAACGTCTCATAGTGTAACAAGACAAACAAAATCTTATCAGGTTTTGCATTAAGCATTCTTCCAAATGGAATACTAAAGATCATCAATGAAAGTCCTCACTGAGTTGCAAGTGCCACTGAAGATCATTTGTCAAGCAGTATGACTAACACCACAATTTATGAGCCCATCTCATCAGGCCTCAGTTTATTTAATATGTCACTCTTTAAGTCTTACATTTCACCCCAGCTGTTCATGGTTAACATTTAAAGGCTTTGCATCTGCTATGCCTGATACTGTAGCAGTGAAAGTCACTAAGCTGAGTGTGCTATTAGATGCGTTTCATTTTTATATACCAAACGTGATGAGGAAGAGTCATAGTGAAATCTGTCGACAAGATCAGCTTTAAATGTTTTACATGTTAAACTACTTTGTTTTCAGTTGGTCTGTTGAGCACAAGTGGGATTGGAAAGCTTGTTAGACTATTTTAAGTGACAGACTTTGTGATGCCAGCTGTACACTTAGAGTCCAATATTGTCCTTCATGTGAATACATGAAGAGTATAGTTGATCATTTATTTAGAGGCTGCCATACAACTATGTCTAGAGTACCCACTGACACCAGCCACACTGCCCTCAACAGTTCTGTGAGTGGATTAATAGCAATAGGAGGCTTTAAAGTTTTCTATTAAATTGATTTAAGGTTTTTTCTCTCTTGCTGGTAGGTAACCTCCACAGCATTAGTTATTAAAATGTTAACTTGTTAATCACCCAAATGAACACTGTGCTCAGATAAAACATGTCAAATATGGCAGAGATGTGAAAATGATCTGTAACCGTCACCTTGTTCTGTAAAATTTAAGTGAGCCCGGCTTGTTGGTTAAAACCATGACAATAAAATAAAAACAAATTGGTTTTCATTTTCTCAGATGCCTTCTGACTTACAAAGCTGTTCTTGTTGCAGTCAGTGAATGTGGTAAAATATCACGATTCATTGAAACAACAGGGAGAATATATTATTTTCTGACGAAAATATTTTAGAATGAATTAATTTTCTACATACGGGTTAAAAAATGCAGGACTGTATAAGCCTGGCCATATACATATGACAGTAATGTTTCACATCTACGTGAATTTTTACAGATAATATCTTACAGACAGTAATAGGATACAAAACTTTAAACTGCTACTTATTCAAGAAAATGAGGTACATGTGGTCCCATAACTGAACGTGAGAGACAATATAAAAAGACTCACACAATATAAAATAGGCAAGCGTGCAGTTCATTCTGCAAAAAAACTACACCTAGACTGGATGCTCAGTAGTTTGGTGTGATGCTAGCTGAGAAGTACTAATTTAAAAAAGCTCTTGGCAGAGGGTTTAAAACCCTGGAGTTTTGTCCTCATTTTTTCCTAGAAAAAAGCTATAACGAAGTCCAGCAATGGAAATCAGGGTCATTTGTGAGGGACTGTCCAACCTGTCATTACTGTTTCCAAGGGCTGAATACAATGAAGCTTTTGCTGATGACCACCATGTTATATAATACCTGCCTACACTTGGATTGATGCAAAACATAGAGCTAAAAGCAAAAGCTTCCAACTCCCACATAAATTTTTAGACAAATACATTTTCATCAGTAAAGTTTCCTAAGTGCTGAAAGCTCTCTTTTTGTGCATGTGCTTCTGTCCTGTCAGGGCAGGCTGCTTACCAACTTTCCCTAAAAGGGAACAGGTGCTCCTCAGTTCACCTTTCCTGAGGAGACCATTTGACAGCTATGCTTTGAGCACGCTGACAGAAATGAATTGGCATGAAACACAGCAGCCTTGGCTACTTACTTTTAAAAATACAGCCAGCAAAGGAGGCAGTAATGATGTTTCTTCTTCAGTGTTTAGAGTACTTGCCCAGGAGATGGCAGATCTGGGTGCTGGTCCCTCCTACACCGTAAAGGGTGTAGAGTGTGCATTCTCCTCATTCCTGAAGAGCAGTCAAGCAAGGAAGCTGTAGACTACGCTGTGATAAGGAAGCGGAGTGGCTGGACCTGAACATGAATCATTAAGCTTGAGTTATGAAACATTAAACCTGATCTAAAGCAGCTTCCCACCTGTTCAAAAGTAGCTGCCCTATCCTTAGCAGGGGTAGGATTTTGGACATATGCCTCTTTCAGCATTTTATTTCAGCAAGTTGTAGTTTGCTCAGTGTTGTAGATCTCATTTTTGCAGTATCCTTGTCTCTTCCATACCTATTCTAGGGAGCTTAGCTCCCTCAGATTTTGGGTAATCTAAGAACTGAATGCCTAAAGCCTGGCATAACGCACTTCAGTGGTCCCAGTGGTCCCTTTAATGTCTCTGTCACTGAGTAACAGATAATGGGAGACTAGACAAACAGGCATCAAAAAAATGACAGAAGCAAAGAATGTGAAATTTTTCTCCACTAGTGCCACCATCTCTGCCTTCTACTTTTATTGGCGAATTACAGGATACTGATAGGGAGCATCAGGACCCTTGTTTATCCACTTAGGCAGTCAAATGTAAGGTCATTGGCTAATGAAGCATTTGTCATTCATTATTTAATCAGGGAAGATGGCTTTGATTCCATGTATGGGAAACTTGTCCAGGGGATGTAATAGGCTATCATTACTTTCAATAAGTATTTGCTTGAATAGAAAGCAAGAGATGACTGAGGAGATGAATGGAATAGAAGAATATGACTTTTTTACAGTCATATTACAGTTCTGCCATTTGAAAAATGAATATATTCAAAGTAAAACTGAAAAGATTTGGGACATGCTACAGGATTTGCTTAAATGTTTTGTGAGGCAAAATAAATTATGTAGATCTTGAATATCTGAGTACACACACATTCACGATGCTAAAAATTATAAATGTTTCAGCTGAAAGAGTTTCAAAATAAACATTGGAAAGATTCATTCTGGAAGTGCAAAAACGTTTTCTTAATATCTTTTCCCAAAAGGAAGCTCAATGAAAATAGTAATTTGTTGTGAAATGTGTTCCTTTAGATGAGTTATCTCTTCAATGACAGAAAAAAGTATTTCTGGGAAAAGTTCTGAAACATTCTACTGCTTGATGAATGGTGGGTAGTGCCTGTAGTAGGTAGGCCTCATATTCGTTCCTGAGCTCTACATTACCTTTAGCCACATAGGAAAAACTCTTATTGCTTCTCAGGACAGCTGTGTGAAATATATGATCAATGCACAAGTGTGGTCAAGAAAGCAAATAAAACGTGAAGGTGGCTAAGGTAAAATGTAAGGCGCCTGAATCAGGTTCTCTGTGAATCCTTAATTTTTGTGGAATGCAGCTGTTGCTATGTGTATTGGGTACTTTAAAACTCAGTTTTTTTTATTTTGAATCTTGACTTTTAGAAGGTGTATGAGCAGGCAACTCCTGTCAGGAAGCAAACAGAAGGTGAGGGATCTTCAAGGTATGTAAGACATAGACTATACATATCCCCCCTGTACATTATAAAAAAAAATCCTACACCCATATCATTTTAGTTTTACTTTTTACTTTTACAACTACTTTTCAAATGGCGTTCAGATAATGATTGCCCTCTTTCCTGCATTACAACTTTGGTTAAGTTTTTGTTTTGGCTTCCCCAGGGAATAAGCAACACAAGATTTTGCAAGCACAGAGCAATGCGCCAACATGTAACAGTGACACAGAGAATAACTTTTAAATGATGATTTAAAACGTCTTTCGCTTTAGAAGCTTCCTGAGTGGTGGTGGTCTTGTTTCAAATGGCTAAACTGTTTTCTGCAAAGCAAAAGGGCCTAGGTAAAAATGTTCCAAAATGGGTTTTAGAAATGGGAGTCTAGAGAAACTCTTTTCCAGGGTTAATTACAGAAGCTCTGTGTTGATAGCATTTACAGCATTATATTTGTACTGATGGTTTTTAAGCAGTGCTTTGTTATGGCCGATATAACAGGTTACACTTTTGGGAAAAGAAAACCAAGAAGTCCTGACTTGTACTTCCCCAGCTGTAACCCATAGAGCCATAGTATAATTAAGGTCCCAAATAAACGATGCATTTAATTAAAGACAAAAACAAGCCTATTGAAAATTGAAGGAAATAATGAGCTATTTCTCGTACATGATCTTTGTATACAATAAAACACGTGCTAAAGTGCTTTGTGGTTGGCCGATGTTTTGTTTTCCTTTCATAAAAATGGGAAGACAAGGCGGACTGTGAGCAGGAACACATTTTCTATCCAACAGGCGGTCCTCAGGAAGGCAGGATCACTTACTGATTTAAGAGAGAGGGGAAACGAAGCTTGATGTGTGCTGTTGCGCAGCCTGTGTCACTTTCTCTTTTGGGTCAGCACAGCTGTTCGTACAGCTCTTCACTGAACCATTTTGGGGAACTGATCTAGCAGAAAGATAACTGGTTTGGGGGGAGGGGAAGTTGTAGTTATGTTTCAGGTGGATCAGTTCTCCAGTGCTGCTCACCATGTGAACGCGCAAGCGCTGGTAGCATTGCAGACAGGACCAAGCACCTGGAGGTGAAGACTCCCTAGAGAAATTAAGCAGCACAGCTGCCAAATGTTTAACGGTGAAACCCTGTAAGGTTGTTAAAAAACGAAGAGCCTCTAACTGGAAATAGGATGACTTTCCAGGGAAATATATATATAGTTATGGCTTATACTATTTAAGTAACTTGTAACGAATAACATAAGCAACAGGAACCAAAAAATAAGAGAAATATTATTTCAGCTC